AAAACGTATCTGAATTGTGTTAGCATAAACTGCCCTAGCCTGAATCACATTTAATAATTGATTACAGTGTACAGTTCATGCTGGTTTGGGAGTCTCTATAAAAATAATACTGGCAAGTCTGTTTACGTCATTCTCCTAGGAACCTTCTAGATTTAGTATCAGAGCTGAGACTCCCACCTGCTGCCTCTCCAAACCAGAAAGACTGAATTTTCCTTTTTTTATTTTTCTGGGTAACCTCTCTCTAAGAAAGTGATTTGCCAGAGTAGTTTTTTAAATGCACCATTTAAACAACTCCATTATGTACTTTTCTTTATACAATAGGTAACAGATAAGCTGTTTTATTGAAAACCAGGTTCTGTTTTAGAGACATTGGGCTGCTACTTAATGGGATCTGATAATCCATTTATGGAGCGTGTTACTCATTTGTAAAGCAAAAATAGATCATCTAACTGTTTCTGATCTATAACTGTGGGTTTCCACACGACAGATTTGCCTAGAGCTAAACTGCAAAGGAAAATATTGCACACAACTGCTCTTGTAAAGATAGATCATAAAATCACAAAAATGTGGAGATCAAAGATACAATGTCCAACTACCTCATTTGCAAATGAGGAAATGGAATTCCACGAAGGCAGAAAGATTCCTGAGGACCCCCACCCAGTTAGCAACCAGAACCTGGAACTTCCAAATCCCAGAGAAGTGCACTTTCTCTTGCTCGACACCCAGGTAAACATGACTTTTAAGTGTCATAAACATAGATGTCCTTGTGCACAGGAGCTGCTAAATACGTGGCCCACCTTAGGTAGCCTGAAGCACATATACACCAAATTATTAAGAATAGGGTGGTAATTCACAACCAACAAGACAGGAGATTTCAGAAAACCTCAGCTTTCTCTTTGCTTCCTTGAACTTCCTGCCTTTGTTTATCTACTCTATTTGTCTAAACTTGCGGCTTCCCAACTTTTTCAAGTTTCATTTACCTGATCCTCAAGCTCTTGAGGGGTGTTGAGCTGTGTTCAGGATGCAATAAAATAATGCTAATAATCATAGTGAATATCATAACTTACATTCCTTAATCAATTTTTTGTAGCAGGTACTTTTCTAAGAATATTACTTTCGAAGTATATTACATATATTATTTCATTATAATTATATAGATTAATTCCTCACATTGATCCTATCAAGCATGTACTATTATTTGTCCCATTTTATAGCTATGGAAACTGAGGCACAGAGAATGTAAGTAATTCAACCCACTTCACACAGCTAGTAAGCAGTAGTTAGTACTTTTAATCACTATATTGGCTATCATAGAAAAAGAAGTACATATCACATAACCGTATGTCCAGGAGTTACTATGGCATAATGAAATGAGCCATGGTGCTGGGGCCAGACAAGTTACAATCTTTTCTTTTTTTATTTTACCTCTCTCCAGAGGATTGAGTTAATTATACTCCTCAGTTTCTGGCCTGTTAACTCTCTTGACCCATACCAGGCTCCTACAAATATGTGTAAGCACTTTTAAAGCATAAGCCATCCACCATACCTATGCATAATACTATTTTTTAAGAAATTACTAAACAATTATGATTCAGTTTGATTAAACAAATATGCATTAAACATTGGTCACACACCGACTACAACTGGAAAAATACGGGTCTTGCTCAGAGAACAATTCTTGTACTTCCACTACATAGATCTTTACAGCTCCCTTAATCTCCCTTCATGCAAAACAATCTGGGTTTCAATGCTTCCCTGCAGGTAGCTGGAAAAAATTATTCTTATGCAATCACTGCCTTTAAAAAAAAAAAAAAAAACTTTGGCATTTTACAGTGGGGTGGTTATGCCCTATAATCAAAGGCAAACATAAACCGGTCATCTCCTAGCAACTCACCGAAGATTACTCTCAGGGAATAATTTGTATGGCTGAGTCTGAGTGCAGATAACTTTGAACTTTGAAGCCAGAGGAAGGCCTGCACTGGCTATTAACTCTTTTTAGTATCCTGCAAATACAATGAACCTGTTTTTGATGGTGTTGCAGGAAGAACGCACACTAAAATATTCCAAGTATGAGCAGTTTGATGTGAAAGAAACTGAAGAGTTTTAAAAATCTTTTTTGTTATTGCTAAAAAATCTAATTGCAATTAAATGTCACTAGTAATCAAGATCATTTTGCTGCTCTGCAGTTTCCCTTTGCTCAAGCCTGCTCTTCAACTCTCTCTTACAAAGGGACATCTGTCGCCTAGGGTTGGACTGCATCATGGCATCCTTCCCTTCCCTGATATCTTCTCCCAGTGGGCTTTTTATCTGCCCCCACAGTCTGGTGTGCTGGTGAGACCAATCAATCAAAGCCAGCTCCTAGTCAGTCTCAGGAAGCCGCTGTTCTTGGAGCCTTAATGTACAAAATAAAGGTGCAATCAACACAGATTTTACTCAGCCATCTGTGCATTAAAGAAACAAATGTGACTCCAGGAGGATTTATTTCTTGTCTTCAAACCAAGATTTGGTACACTTCGAATATAATTAGTTTATAAAAAGAGAAGACCTGAGTAGAAAATTCATCTGAACAAATAACGGAGGCAAGAAAGGGACCCATATCTGAAGTGATCCAGCCATTAGTCACAAGTATCAACACCAAAGAAACATTGACTTTTTAATAGCAGGAGTAGTAACATTTTTGGCATTATGTGCCAGACCTACTTCTAAGTGCTTTATGCATATTAATCATTGGAGCCTTCAAAAACTCTAGGAGGTTGGCACAATTGTTATCCCTATTTATAGAGGAAGAAACTCTAAGGTTCAGAGAGAGGATAAGTAAGTTGCCTGAAGTTATCCATGTGGATATGGTAGAATGGGCTTTTAACCCAGTTGGCTTGGCCCCAGAGTCTACGCTCTTGATCACCACACTAGCCTGCCCCTGCAGTAGACATGATCATGTAGTAATCCCATCTCTCTGTCAGGAAACAAGGCACAAGGTGATGCTACAGTTCTTGAAAAGAGCTCATAATTTGGATCATAAATGTTAGTTCTGAAATCTCATTTTCTATGAAATCTGAGGATGATAGAGAAAGTTTGTCTGTTTCTGTTTATTAGGAAGAGGAAGAAGACTGCTTTCTTTAAGGTCTCTTGCTTGTGATTGGCATATAGAAAAGTAGCCTCAAAAAAAAAAAGTATCCTCCCTTTGAGGAGACTGAAAAAATGTAATAGACTTTGGGTTTGCTCAGTGTTCTTCAGTACTTGCACTAGAGGACATTGGACAGCGAACATGATTAGTAGTCTTTAAAAAAAATATTCTGTTACATACCCCAGAAACATTTACTGAGCAGTTAGTATTTGTTATATATCTATTAAGCACTTAAGCATTTTTCATTTATCACTTAAGGATCTCTGTCCTTCATCCATTCGTAGCCAAGAGAGGGAAACATGAATGAAGCTGTCACTCATGCATCCTTCCAAAGGATTTTGATTCTACATTTTCAGTCTTTTGCATTTTAAATTATGGAGCCCCAGAAATTTTCTGCTCACTAGTTTTGTTTTTTTTTTAAGATTTTATTTATTTATTTATTTATTTGAGATAGAGAGGGCACGTGAGAGAAAACGCGAGCGGGATCAGGGGAGAGGGGTGCAGAGGGAGAACCAGACTCCCTGTTCAGCAGGGAGCCTGACATGGAGTTTAATCTCAGGACCTCGAGATCATGACCTGAGCTGAAGGCAGACACTTCACCCACTGAGCCACCCAGGTGCCCCCATAAAATAGTTTTTAAACTACTTTTATAAAAAAAATTTTTTTGAATTTCAATGGAGTGTCTTTTAATCCTGGTAGGTTAGGGCTTAGAAAAAAAGTAGTTAATGTTACCAGTGGTTTATATGATTTTAAAATGTCAGCCCCCTTTTAAGCCTTCATTATTTGGGGCTTAATTTAAAACTCCTTCTTTAACCTGAAAAGTTATGTTATTTTGTTTTACATCTGTCCCTTTGGACAGAAAAGGCTATATGCCTTTTCACAACTTTGTTCTCTTTCTTGGAATGCAGAAGTATTTCTTGGAAAGAAAAGCTACCTGATGCTGGAGACAATTAATATTAAAACAGAATAAAATTTGTTTAATCATCCGCTTTTTACCTTTTGCCTAGAATAATCCTACTCTATGCCTGTAAAGTCAGCATAAATATTAATGACACCCCCTTTTAATATTGCTCTATCAGGGGCGCCTGGGTGGCTCAGTTGTTAAGCTTCTGCCTTCGGCTCAGGTCATGATCCCGGGATGGAGCCCTGCATTGAGCTCCCTGCTCAGTGGGAAGCCTGCTTCTCCCTCTCCCACTCCCCCTCCTTGTGTTCCCTCTCTCGCTGTGTCTCTCTCTGTCAAATAAATAAATAAAATCTTAAATAAAATAAAATAAAATAAATAAAATAAAATAAAATAAAATATTCCTCTATCAGTTTATATAAATTATGTAGGCATGCCTTCCAAAAGCAGTATAAAGCTAATGGTTAAGTAAAATAAGTTTGTTTTTATTTGCAAAAAATTCATGTATATATACAGAAAATTTTGATATTTCCTAAAACCCATGATGAAAAAATGCCACTGTAGAGTAGATTATTTTTTTTAAATGATTATTTACAAGGTCCATTTTGTGGTCCAAAACCACAATTCCTTATCTCTTTATGGAGTCATGTGTTCTGAAAAAGGACTAAAGTGAAAGTTTAAAATGATTTGAGATACAGAGATAGCAAGATGGTATTACAGTCATCCCCCCCACCTTACACTCAGGGGATACATTCCCAGACCTCCAATGGATGCCTGAAAGCGCGGATAGTACAAACCTCATATATTCTGTTTTTTCCTATACGTGCGTATCTACGATAAAGTTTAATTTCTAAGTGAGGCACAGAAAGAAATTAACAACAACAGTAAAATAGAACAATTCTAACAATACATTGTAATAAAAGTTATGTGAACGTCGGGTCTCTCTCTCAAAATAACTTATTGTACTGTACTCACCCTTCTCGCGCTGAGGTGAGATAATAAAATGCCAACCTAACGACGGGAGGAGAGGCGAATGACGCAGGCGTGTGACGTAACATTAGGCGACTACTGACCCTTCTGACGTTACGTCACCAGGAGGAGCATCTACTTTCAGAATGTGATTGACCCTGTAACTGAAATGGCAGAAAGCAAAACACAGATGGGGGGCGGGGGCACAATGGTACTTATTGCTGTTGTAAAACATTTCTGTGCAAATTTTAGGTTCCAAGTTCTGTGTACTGATGAGGTAGAAAAGAGCCGACAGCAAATTTAAATAAAGACAGATAAACATTAAGTTTGTGCAATCTGCCATTATTCTATACAATGCCAGCCCAGTGTATTCGTGAAATAAAAGTATAGACCAAGTATGGAGTCAGAGGGCTAGCTGGGGGACTGGTGGTATGCTCCGAGGTTCACTGTAAGACATTGCTCAGAAATATCCTATTCTCCAACCTGCTGGCTCCTTCAATTATTTGGGATATCAAGAAATTGAAGATGTATCATTAAAATGCACATGTGTTATTATTTGTATAAGGCAGTATCTCATTACTTATAACCTTTAATTTTATTTTATTATGTTATGTTAATCACCATACATTACACATTAGTTTTTGATATAGTGTTCCATGATTCATTGTTTGCGCATAACACCCAGTGCTCCATTCAGTACGTGTCCTCTTTAATACCCATCACCAGGTTAACCCATCCCCCCACCCCCTCCCCTCCAGAACCCCCAGTTTGTTTCTCAGAGTCCATAGTCTCTCATGGTTCATCTCCCCCTCCAATTTCCCCCCCTTCATTTTTCCCTTCCTAGTATTTTCTTTCTTTTTTTTAACATATAATGTATTATTTGTTTCAGAGGTACAGGTCTGTGATTCATCAGTCTTACACAATTCACAGTGCTCACCATAGCACGTGTCTATCACCCAGCCACCCCATCCTTCCCACCCCCCACCACTCCAGCAACACTCAGTTTGTTTCCTGAGATTAAGAATTCCTCATATCAGTGAGATCATATGATACATAAGAATCTTTCTCTGATTGACTTATTTCGCTTAGCATAATACCCTCTAGTTCCATCCATGTCATTGCAAATGGCAAGATTTTGGTGTTTTTTTATGGCTGCATAATATTCCATTGTATATATATACCACATCTTCTTTATCCATTCATCTGTTGATGGACATCTTGGCTCTTTCCATAGTTTGGCTATTGTGGATATTGCTGCTATAAACATTGGGTACACGTACCCCTTCGGATCACTACATTTATAATCCTAACAAAACTAGAGGAAATTAAATGTAAGTTTGGAAATCAGCCCTATATACAACTAAGTAGGGAAAATTGTTACCACCAAGTAATTTTTTCATTATACCTAGAATAGACAGTAGTCTTCTATCACATTTATAGAATTGAAAATTAAGATCCTAAGGAGTGGTGGTGATCCCAAATTTCACTGAATTATGTCAACATTGTTGGGATTCAGTGCCCATGATCAGAGTCCAAAGTTTGATCACGATGTTTGTCTAGTTTCCCATGACAATACAGCAAAGATAAATAATGGTGTTCAGGATGAACATATGGCAATATCAATTTATGCAATGCTGAAATATAATGGCAGTGGAACAATTAGCAAATAATTAGTTATCCAAAAGTTATAGTTCTATAACTATCAAATAGTTATCAAAGAACTATATGATTCTAGTTTCTATTGATCAAATTATAAAGCACTGACTTGTTCTACTTTTTGATTTTCTCTTGCACCCTCGTCCACCACGGCCATATTTCCCATACCTGCCTAACGGCTAAAGCTGATAAAGCTGCCTAAGTGGTAAAGTTGGTAGAGTTGACTACCTCTTTGCATTTCCTAAGGAAAAAAAAAAAATATATATATATATATATTGACCTGACTAATGTGTCATACTCATCCCTTCCCCTAACTACCCCGTGTGAGCCACAGGATGCCATCATGTAGGTGGAAACTCCATAGGCTCCACCCCATGACTGAATTTCCTGACTGTGAGTCATATTCTCCCGATAATGGTCCTGGTCTTCCGAGCTTACATTCTTATGGTGGGAAAAAGATAATAAACAAACATGTAAGATGAGAGATGATGAGAAGTGCTCTGAAGAAAAAAACTTTTAAAGGGTAAAGGAAATATGGAGGAGAGCATTTTATATGGGGTGCTTAGGACTAGAGGAAAGAGCTGGGGATTCATAGAGGAAGGGTTCCAGGCAGTGGCAAAGATTCTGGGATCATTGTGGGCTTGGCGTGTCCAAGGAGCAGTGAGATGGTCAGCAAGCCTGGAGTAAGGGAGCATGGAGTGAGAGTGGTAGCCATGAAACCAGGGATATGATGAGGGCCAAGGACATGGAGGACCCTGCAGGCCATAGTACAGATGAGAGATGGGAGGCCATGGCAGGGCTTTGAACAGGAAAATGAGTGATCGCTCTCTGATTTTTGGAGACTTCATTCTGAGTACTTAGGTAATAGTAAAAAGTAAGTGATTTAAGTGGAAGAAAGGAGACCAATCATAAGGCTACCAGAATAGTTCAGACTTAGATACGGGTATCAGGTAGTAGTGGAGAAGATGATAGGAAGGATTTGGATTCTAGATATATTTTGAAGCCAGAGATGGTAGGATTTGCTCATAAATATAAGAGAAATAGGAGCCATATCATGTCATTGTTTTTGGTCTGGGCAACAGAAATGATGATGCTGTTTGCAGAGACGTGAAATGCTACAGGAGGAGAGGGTAGGTGGGGCTGAATGGGAGGTCAGGTTGATGAGCCTGGTGGACATCCAAGTGGACACTGTGGATGGGCAGTTCACATTCCAAGTCTGGTGCTTGGAGGATAGATCAGGATTTGAGAGATAAATTTAGGAATCTTCAAATAGTTCTGATTTAGGTTACATAGCCCCTCTTTCAAACACATTCATATTTTACTCTGTGACTGCCTCAAGTATGGTCGCCTAAATCCCACATAAGTTTGGGAATTTTGCTTGGGAGGAGTATAGATCCAACTGTGCTGAAACAAAAAACAAAGCAACAAGTTGATGGAAAGGGTGACAGGACACGGGAGACATGCTTCCCTTGCTCTGCAATTTTTGTAGGTTCTTTGACCCTTAGAACTCACTTGGATGATGCTGTACAGTAAGAGTCCACGTGAACTGAAATATTGATGAGACCTACACATTTCTACAAATCTCTCCAGTTAAGCTTAAGAAACTAAATATCTGTACTAAAAAGTTGTCTAGATAGGTTACACAATTCTATCTTAATTGTAGAAGGCATTAAATCGGTTTTAAAATAATTCCAAATATCTAATTTGTAGGATCCCTATTATGTTTTGAACATATTTATATGCAATTTGCTAATAGAACTATGACTCAGTTTTGTGTCTCTCAAGGCCTATCACTGTTCACCTCTCTATGCCCCCAGGCAGGGGCAGCCCATCCCCTGGCCTCCCAGCAGACTGACCAATGCTCACTTCTGCCATTAGCAGCCACAGTTCCTTAACTGGTAAGACAGGGGGCTAAGTAAAGTAGCTGTATATCTCACACAGAGCACAAAGACAAAAACATAAAACAATTCAGTGTTGGAAACTAACAACCATAATACAAATAGAGGCATCATGCCATAATGCGGGAAAGAACTTAAGTGGCAAATACAGGGGAAAGCACATTCGATCCATCTTGAAAGTTTAGGGTACATACACATCTAGAATAAAATGTAAGGCTTCAGACATACTCAATCGGGAAGAGAAAAATTCCCTCATGCTTACTGAACAAAAAAAATAAATGACGTAAATAATGAGTTTGAACACTTAATACCTTTTGGCCACTAATATCTTAGGAGGAGGAATAATAAGGCCTCCACAAGACTGAGGAATTGCTCTATATCTTCTAGTTTAGGTTTTAGGATCTCTGGGCTAGGGAAGGTTTTGTGAAAGCAAAGCTGAAAGAATAATCGTGACTTTTAGTCCTGGGAACAAGAATCATAGCGTGTGAGAGTTAATAAAAAGTTAGAGATCTAGTCCCACTCATTTTACAGATGAGGACAGAGGCCAAAAACTTTAAGTGACTTTGTCTCTCCGTTCGAGGTACTTAAAATGTAGCTAGAAAGGCAAAGCATATAACAAGCTAGATAAACCACAGACCCTTCCGAATGCTGCCAGAGTTTACAATTCAAAGTCCAAGGAATGGCACCGGTGGAAGGTCACAGAAATGCAGGCAGAGATGTGAGTGATTGGGCCAGGGTCAGGGGCGGGGGGCGGTGATGAAGAGCTGGAGGTAAACTTGGAAAAGCAACTTTCGATAAGGTAACCCAAGCTGTAGATGCTTTACCTTAGGGAACAAACAGTAGGTCGATTTTTCCGCCACACACGGGGCTATCTTCTTTTAAATGCAGGTGTGTGGGTATGCTGTAATTTACTTATATGCTTGTTTTCATTTTATTTAAAAGGTAACAAAAATGCATCACAAACACCTAGAACATTGGAGGAAAAAGTCACTAATAATTATCCCTACCCTAATACCCAAGATTAGGCTTTCTTTGAAACCTCCCATTTAGTTTTAGCAAAATGTAGCCTCCTTCATTATCAACTGAAGTGTCCTTTTATTTAAAAAGAAGAAAAAAAAAAGGTTGAAGAGCTCTTTGGTTCACAAGAACGGAATTGAAATTTTTGACAAACGATAGAAGAGGAATTCAAGTTTATACGTAGTCAGCTCTGATTTTTAAGTGTTGAGATCTATTGGAAAATCTGTCTGGAGAAAAAAGGGAAAAGGGATAGAGATATATGCATTCACACACACATAGAAATAAATAGATACAGATAAAGCTAAAGAGGGGAAATCCAGAAATAATGTTCTAATTCAGATTTTAAAAGATCGTATATAAAAGCAATGATAAAGGTAATATTAAACTGTCTTGAAAGTATTTGTATCCTTGAAAAATGCTCACTTTTAAAAGATTTGGGGCCTCTTCCTCTCTTTTTTTTTTTTTTACGTTGTCAAAACTGC